CACACATATATGGACATATAGAAACAAAAATGCAAAGACATAAGCACAAACAAAATAACCAACACATGTCCAAGAACACACATACATCAAATATGCATGAACACACAGAAACATTCAAAGAAGTAAACACATACACACACACACTCACACATACATACACAAGCTCACACATGTAAACACAAAAAAAATTCAACAGAACATAAAGTCACAAACACACACAAAGCACATGCAAACACCAATATGGTATAAAAAGAGACACACAGAAATGCACAAATACAAACAAACATACACATGGATAAGCAGAGATACATGGAAACATAATACATGTACAAACACAGAAAATACATGAGCACAACCACAAATCACACATGCAAACCTACACATACACAAATACAAACAGGAACATGAAAACCCATGCAAAAACTGACATACTATGAACAATCATGAATATACATACACACAAGCACATAAACACTATAAACACAAACATAAAAATACACAAACACACACAATACATAACCACAAACATATCAAGACCCAACACACAACACAGATGTATAGATACAGAAAAATGCGCATGACATATATACAGTGTGGAGAGCCGCATAGTGCCACGCCCTTAAGATGGCGCCAGTCTCTGTCTTCCACCACCTGTTGGCGAGTGCTCTTAGGAGTAAAAAAGTTCTTATTTGGCTGAGGCTAGTGATCTGGCTTGCTTCTGTGTATGTGGGCCTATCTGCTGTTGCCACATGGCAGACGGGGGTAGGCTATTCCCAGAGTACTTAAGCCTGGGAGACGCTTTCCCTGGGGTTGTCAGTCAGAAGCTTATTCAAGGTCCTGAATAAACTGCTTGGAGAAGAGCTCGTGTGTTGCATTTTCCTTGCGGGACGAGTGTGAACACGACAATACAGAACATATACAAACACACACAAACACATACACAAACATACAAACACAAAATACTTATATATACACACACAAAACACAACAATACACAAACAGAAATATACAAACACAATCACATGAAAATTCATACTACACACAAAACATATGAAGAAGCATACACAATCACACATACAATCACACACAAACACAGAAGCATACACATTAATAAACAAATACAGTCACATAAATACATGAACTTTACAAATGCACACAAAACACACATAAGCATGAATTCAGTTACAAACACAAAAACACACACATATAAATTCATACCAATCCAGATACACAGAAATAGTAGCACAAAAACATACAAATGCATACAAATGTAAACACACACACACAAATACATAAAAACATATAAGCACACATGCAAACATACAAACACATATAAACAAGCATCAACATACATAGACACGCAGAAATACTCAAACATACAAACATGATACAAACATAAACACATTAATATACAAAACACACATAAATAAATGCAAATACTTAAGCATATAGAAAAATATATACCCACACATACAAACACACATAAATGTACTAACACAAACACATGTAAACACACACATAAATATACAGACACCAAAAACATGTAAATATAAACATCAACAACAGTAACTTCTATACCCACACCAAAACACACATACACCAGCATGTCCAACCAAAGAGACACAACTACACACAGGCACAATCACACATCTATACACAAAAATTGAAATACAAACACACACATATAGGCATACATAAAATCATGCACAACATACTCACACATATATTCAGACACAAAAACATACACTCCAACCACGAATACTAGCATGCACACAAACACTATAAACATACACAAACACAAAACACAATTGTGAAAATATTCACAAACACAAATGTACAAATACACACGCAATTACACATACAAATACAATCTCAGAGACACAACTACACAAACACACACACAAAGAAGTACAAATATACATGCACTGTTCTCATTTGCTTTCTGTTACTGTGATAAACACTAGGATTAAAAGGGGCCTGGAGGAAAGATTTGTTGCTGTGGTTGGTTGGTTGGTTGGTTGGTTGGTTGGGTGGGTGGGTGGGTGGCTTTGGCTTACTGATTACAATCCATTATTAAGGGAAGCAAAGGCTGGAGCTCAAAGCAGAAACTGGAAGGCAGGAACTGAAGCAGAAACCATAGAGGAAAATGCTGTTACTGCCTTCTCCCTAGGCTCATGTTCAACTAGCTTTCCTGTACATCACAGGCCCACATGCCCAAGGCTGGCACTTCCCATGGTAGGCTGAGTCTTCCTACATCAATTGTAATTTAAAAAATGCCCTGCAGACTGCCCACAGGTCAATTTGCTGGAGACAGTTCTTCAATTGAGGTTCCCCCTTCCAATGTGTGCCAATTTAATAACCGAGATTAGCCATCACATGTACAACATATACAAATATATACAAATATACACTGATACAAACACACACAAAAGCTATACAAACGTATCTGCACAAACATACAAATCATACTGACATAAAGATGAAAATAACATGCAACACCCTGTACTGGCTGGATTTTTTTTGTCAACTTGACACAAGCTGGAGTTGTCACAGAGAAAGGAGCTTCCCTTAAGGAAATGCCTCCATGAGATCCAGCTGTAAGGTATTTTCTCAATTAGTGATAAAGGGTGGTAGGGTCCCTTGTGGGCAGTGCCATCCTTGGGTTGGTAGTCTTGGGTTCTATAAGAAAGCAAGCTGAGCAAACCAGGGGAAGCAAGCCAGCAAGTAACATCCCTCCATGGCCTCTGCATCAGCTCCTCCTTCCTGACCTGCTTGAGTTCCAGTCCTGACTTCCTTTGGTGATCAACAGCAACAAGGACGTGTAAGCTGAATAAACCCTTTCCTTCCCAACTTGCTTCTTGGTCATGATGTTTTGTGCAGGAATAGAAACCTTGACCTCCCCCCACACACACACACTCACACAATGGGTAGGTCCACTGTTGTTCAAATCATACTCTCCCTGTGAACTGGTGGTAGAAGTGCTCATGGAGATGAAAGTGTGTGGAACTCACAATGACAGTCAGAAAAGCTAGCGGCAACAGGGATGTCTGAGTTCCTGTTACGTTTGAGGTCTCAGTGCCCCCTACTCCAATTAGAGATGGGTTTATCCTCATATTCTTATATATCCCTCTATTTTTTAAACCTGCCTGTCTGTCTGTCTGTCTGTCTGTCTGTATATCATGCCTGTACATGTACCCAGGGAGCCCAGGAGATAGCTCTGGATCTCTTGGAGCTGGAGTTACTGAGGCTCGTGAACTGTCTGACAAGGGTCCTCTAGAAGAACAGCACATACTCTTAACCTCTGAGCCAACTTTCTAGCCCACCATTCCTGTATTCTTACAAACTAACCTTAAAAATATCCTTAATCTAGCTCATGTCAGCTTCTATTTTTAGCCACCACGGCATTGCTAATTAATAGAGTTTTGTAGTTTCAAAGCTACACCACATGTCCCCAACTGAGTTTGGAAAAAAACCCACTATAGAGATGAGCATTGCAAGCGGCTCAATGGTCCAAAGCTCTCGTTCTGAAAGTCTGAATTACTCATTTCTATCATTCTCATGTGTTCCGGGTGAAGAGTTCAGATTGCCGTGAAGGTCTTCAGGGCTGGATTAATCTGGAAAGAGTTACAACCAGGCAACCCACTGCCATCTCCCATGATAAATGCTATACAGGGAATGAGTCTCATGCCATGCTAGCCACCCTCCATACCATTCCCAACACAGTGATGTGCTTATCTCCAATCCACGTGTGCCTCTCAGTGGAGATCAGAGTCCTTTCCTTACTATTTTCACTCTAGTCTAAAACTGATTCCTAGGAAACTGGAAAAGGCCCTTTCTCAGAAATTGTACTTCATGTCTTCAACTAATCAGGCAATTACGTGGTGCAGCTTCCTGCAGCTCACTGGAGCATGTTCATGGCCACTGCTGGAGCAAGCACATTCTCCCTGTAGGGAATTCGAAATCATTCTTGACGAGGCTTCAGTCAGTACTTTTGTGGTCCAGAAAATGTGAATTCAAGGCCAACCTGAGCTACTCAGAAAGATTATATCTGTGAAATCCTAAGTAAACAAAATTGTTAAGCAATCGATGAACATGAACACAGAAGCACAATAAAGAAGTGGAATTCAGGTGACAGGAATCGTCCAGTGTTCTTTGACTGCACCATAGCCTCCTTTCCATGTTTAAATAAAACCTCTTAAAGCAAGACTGGGACACATAAGCCAATACTGCTCTTTAATGTCAAGAGAAATATTTGTAGACACCAAGAGTTCTTTGTTCAATACATGCTGCTGATTATTTAAACAGTCACAGACAAAGCTTGAGGGCTGGGAGATAACACTGTGCCAAGTTCTTGCCATGCAAGTATGACAACCTGAATTGAACTCTCCGGCACTTAAGTAAAAAACCAGATATGATGGCCCACAACTGTAATCCTGCCACTCGGGAGGCAGACACAGGGGAATTCCTGAACTCACCGGTCTGTTAGTCTAGCCCGGTCTGCAAGTTTCAGGCTCCATGAGAAATCTTGTTTCAAACAATAAGACAGAGACAAATAGAGAAAGATGCCCATTGACAACCTCTGGTCCATATGCACATGCACTCATGGCCACACATATACACACAAATAAATGAATAATTCTAAAATAGGTGAACACCATGGATTCTTGGAATTATTCATGCAGTAAGGTAGGGAAGTACTTGCATATTGTAAGATGTGCCCATTTTAGCATGACTCTGGGTATTTTTTTTCTTTTAAAAACTTTTTATTGTTTTCTTGTGAATTTCACATCATACACCCAATCCCACTCATCGCTCTCCTTTATATCCATCCTTTACTCTTGTAACCTCCCCCAACAGAGAAGAAAATCTCATTGTGGAAGTTGTAGCACGTCACAGTGTACCCTGCAGTATAACCTTTGTCCACACTTCTTTGCTTGCAGATATTCATTGCAATGACTCCTTGGTCTTGTATGAGACCTCGAGCTTCTATTACTCTATCAAAAAATAGGGAAGAATTAAGAGATTTGCATGTCATCCTTGCACGGGGGCTGTGTTAATCTTCTCTGTATTGTTCCAATTTGAGTATATATGTGCTGACAAAGCGAGCACAGCTCCTGTCCTTATGCTCCAAGATGGTCTTTGGATTTGAAGAGCACTGATTTAAGATTCACACACTATAACAGAAAACTAAAGCCAAAGGCATCAATACCCTGCAGACTGTTTATCATCTGAAGATGAAACCAGGAAGAGGGTGAAGGCAATCTTTCTTTCCCAGTCTTTTGATCCACAGTGCATGGATTTGAACTATGAAACTACAAGGGATGCCTTGGGTTTAAACACAGCTATGATCATGGAGACATAAATGGGCTTAGTGACAGTCAAACAAGGGTGGACGGATTGGAATCAGATTCATGTTTCTAACTATTCATTGTAAAATGCTGCCGTTGTTTTTTGTCATCCTCCCTTTTAAGTCCACGGGCCATTCTTGTTAGCTGACTATTCTTGAGTGTGAGAACTTGCCCTGGAGTGTGGCCAATGTACCAGGTTTCATGCCATTGAAAAAAATGAATCTCCCATCACCCAGCAAATATCAATAGTTCTCCAGCTAGGTCGGACTTCGTGTCTTCCCTCTCCAAACTGTGATGTTTGTCTGGCTTGAGCTTGGTCTACATTGTACTTACTGTCACAGTTGCTCGGGGTTCACCAGGACATCTCTCTTATTGTGTGTGTTAAACACTTCTTTTTAAGCTACTTACCACCTCAGGCACTGCAATCATTCCCTGAGCCTCAGTGGCTGGTTTGACATAGTTCCCATTTAGGGCTGAGCACCCCAAACACCCTCACTCTCTGTACATTGTGGGACTCTCTGTTGGTTGTGTTACTGCAAGAAACAGTTTCTCTGATGAGGGCTGAATGATGTTGATCTACTGCTACAGCAAGAAATCAGGAGTCATTTTATTGCTGTGTCCATTTATCAGAATAATAGTAGTAGACTTCCGCCTAGGGTCCACAGCCTGTCCAGCAGTGCCAGAAAACAAGCACTGAACAAGCGGGGACTCTCACCAGCCCTTCACTTGGTGGCCATGACACTGTTAGCTTTGGTTCCTTTATGGAATGGGCAAATGATCTCAACATTCTATGTGCTTTCCAAAAAAAGTTTCCTTTGGTCTTCTGGTCTGTGTGTCACGGCCCATGTGACTGCACTTACCCTATGAAATTCCTGGTGCCTCCCTGCTATAGACATAAATGATGTGTCCTAAGAGACTAGGAAAGTATGGAGAGTTTTATTTATGATGTGTATATACTATGTGTGCATATGAGCATGCAAGTAGAGGTCAGAGGGTAACTTCAAATTAGTTCTTACTTTCCACTTTGCTTTGAGGTTGGGTCTCTCTTGCTCTTGTACCTTAGCCATAGATGTCAGGCTAGTTGATCCCCAAGCTTCAGGGAGGTTCTCCTGTCTCTACTTCCCATTTTCCTTAGGAATTCTGTGATTACAAGTGTATACTGCTGCATACAGCCTTTTATATAGGTTCTAGGGTTTGTGTGGATGTTGGGACTGTGCTGCTAGTTATTTTACCCATTGAGACATCTCCCCTACCTTAAAGTGAATTCTAAAAGCCACTTTTGTTAAGTTAAAAATACTTCTCTGATTCAAAATTATGTATAAAAGTCAATTACCTTGTGCCTTGGCTCATGAATACTGAGTAGCAGGTTTGTACAATCAGAAAATGTTAGAGGTTTTTGTGATTCCATGAGTCTTTTCTTCCTGACTTGTGGTTGGATGCATACATACCTCTGGCTGGTCATGTACAGAGTTGCTCTGTAGCAGAAGCTACAGGCAGAGGTAGCAAGCTTACTTTCATGGAATCAAACTCATAAAAGTTCATCATTCTTAGAGATAAAGATGAATATTTTGGCTGGCTTTAAATCTGTCATATAAAAGAGGCTGGACTTGAACTCCTGATCCCCGTGTCTCTACCTGCCAAGTGCTGGAATTACAGACATTGTACTGGTCTACTCAACCATGGCTTGATTTTGAAACCATGACAACTCTAGATAATCAATGATAGAAGTTTCAAATAAAAGAAACAAAGTTCTTATAAACATCCAGATGTCTACGAGGGTGGCCTGGGACTTGGGTCAAGAATCATTAGTATTTTGAAATTTAAAAGTCATTTTACTGAAAACAAAACATGTTTTCTTTTACATGAATCTGTTCAGCATTGGGGTTGCCCAATCCCCAATCTGTCATTCTGTGGAGTTCCCTTCTACTCTTTGAGATGCTGGCTGTGATGTGGGAAATAAGGTTTCTAGGCGCTCTGAATTCTGGCATGTGTTACGTGTATATATACGTGTGTGTGTGTATGTATGTATGTATGTATGTATGTATGTATGTGTTGGCTAGTTGTAAATGATAAACCTGTGAATGGAGTCAGAATGAGCTGTATGATGGTTTATGTTATTAGTTTTGTGTTTTTGTTTTTTGGGGTTTTTTTTGTATTTTTTTTATATGTGAATGTTCTGTCTGTATGCATATTTGTGTGCCACATGTATCTCTTGTGTCCATGGAGGCTGGAAGAGGGCTGTCAGGTCCCCTGGATGCAGTTGGAGTTACACAAGGTTGTGGATGCTGGAAAATGAACTTGGGTCCTCTGGAAGGTCAGATGAACTATCCATGTCCAGTGGTTAGTTTTAAATTAATATTATTTGCACAGCTTAGGATCAACTGGGGAAAGAGTTTCACTTGGGTGAAACTGCCTATTAGATTGGAAGCTAAGCACATTTGTGCAGTGCTTGTCTTGACTGTCAATTGCTATATGAACACCCAGCCCACGTGGGTAGCTCCAGTTCCTTGGCAGGAGGGATAAGAGGAGACTGAAGATGAGAGCAGGATGTAGCAAGCAGGCAGCATTGGTAGCTTTGATTTCTCTCTGCTCCCGACTACAGATGTGGTGTGACTTAACTCTCAGCGTTCTCACCTTGATTTGCCCTCAAACACAAAGTGTAACCTGGAACTATAAGTCAAACACACCCTTTCCTGCCTTAGTTGCTTTTTGTCAGGATGTTTAATCACACCAACAGATATGAAACAAGGCAGAATGTTTATCAAAGAACCAATAACTCAGATATGAAAAGACACCTTATACCAAGCCCATCATTAATGTTTATAGTTTACTTTTATCAAACTGTTATATTCTACTTTAGCATATTACACTTAGCAATTATAATAATTATTCTACACAATTATTCTGTTTCATACTACTTTGCAAATTTTTATGTTGGCCTAAGTCAATTCATCCTCCTTGATCCTTACCTGACATTACTGGCAACCTGCATCCTGTGGTTTCTTCTGGCCCTCTCCTTGGCTGTCCTCTTGCCTCTGGCTACTTAGTGTATTTGATGTTGTCCTTCTACCTCAATATGAGCTAGTTTATCCATAGCCACCTTCTTATTGCTCAGCTTCTCATTAGATGTCCTGGCTTCAACTGCTTTAAAAAAAATACTCACAAGGGTAAGATTTTTGACTTACACTCTGGGCTTTTGTTTTTAAACAATCCCAAATAGCTCTATGATAATCAGTGACTCAGTGTGTTCCACACTGACCTCCTTATCTCCATTGCTGGGGAAGATGGCCAAGATGGCCTCCAGTGTTGCCCATTTTCCAGGATCACATCCTTGAATCAATACAAAGAACGAGCCTATGCATTGGCTAATGTTTGTAATTCTTGCCTAATCCCAGCACTTTTCATGATGCTCTCTGTATTCAATTGTAAACATTTCTGGTCCAAGAATCACTCCTTCTCTTCTTCTCATTGGATGTACCTGAAAAGCATGGATGATGTCTCTTGTACTTAAGGAATAAGCTTGAGGTTTTTGTTTTATTTTTGTTTTGTTTTTTTGGCAGGTGGGTTGTTTTTGTTTTTTGTTTTTGTTTTTGAGAGAGGAGCCTACTATCTACCTCTGGCTATCCTGAAACTCACTCTGTAGACCAGCCAGGCCTTGATCTCACAGAGATCTACCTGCCTCTGCTTCCCAGGTGCTGGGATTAATGGTGTGCACCACTACACCTAGCATGCCTTTGAGTTTCTTTTTAAAAAATTAAAAAAATAAAAAAACAAAAAAAAAACAAAACCAAGCCAAAACAAAACAAAAATTATATTTTTGTTTTTAGAAAAAAAAAGGGGGGGGCTCAGTGTAAGTAACCAGTAAGAAACGGTGTTTCTCTTTGGGCTTGAAGTTATCTTAAGCAATCTATATGTACACTTTCTTCTTTGCTCCTGCATAGCCAACTCACTATGCAGTGCCTTAGCACTGGCTGGCATCAAGGGGCTGGAGGGGCTGGAGATGTCCACTTTTAACAGTCTGGAGTTTCCTTCCTTATTACAAAAAAATAATCAGAACAGAAGCAACATACAGCATGAAAATTAATTCCTCCTTTCAGTATTAATGGGTTCTGGAATCTCTTGGTAGTTTTTCCTTTCATAAAATGAGGATACCAGGTTTACTGGCTTATAAATTGGATTATTTAGGTCACAACTGTAATGATAAAGTTAACCTGGCAAGCTTTAAATAAATTAGCTAGAAATTACTCACTGGGTACAGGAATGGAGAAGAGTTCCAGACAATAAAATTAATAATTCCTCCCATTAAAATTTGTGTATGCAAATGAGGTCAAAATGAACCCTGGTCTGAAATACAGCTAAGTGGTTGCCTTTTTTCTTTTTGAGTACTGTCTTCCTTTGCATTCCATATACAATATATACAAAACACTAGTCACAGAGTTCTCTGAGGGTGTGTGTGTGTGTGTGTGTGTGTGTGTGTAGTGTGAAGTCCATAAGACAACATCCTGTGTTGTTCTATCCTTTTTGGGAGGGGCAGAGGGAAGACCTCTCATTGACCACCAAGTAGGCTATAAGCATGTGCCACCACATCTGGCTTTTTATGTATGTTCTGTAGTCAAACTCAGATCAAGACCATAACTCTACTCAGATCTTACACTGGCTTTGTCTAACCCCTTCCCCTATTTCCAGGCTACTCTAGTGTTTAACAGCTGCAGGCTAGCTCTCCCCACATACGCTAATGACCCCCAAATTGTCCCAAACAAA